CGCTTCCCGCCGTTGTTAAGCTCCTTTCTGCATGCCGAAGAGGAAAAGGATTAAACAGCACAAAGGAGGCAGCTCGGCGCTACGGCAACAGTGAATAAAAGGAATAAATAAAACAGAGGTCTCATTATGCCGTTGACCGCGGTGCGCTTAAAGTGCAAGGATAATGCAAAGCGGCTGTGATGGGGAAATGCTTGCGAATGGCGACGTGAATTGCAGGTGCGTAAATGTGAGAGTATTAACAATTTTAACAAACAAAGGCAAATGGCCATTAATAACACACAGAACAACAGCCCAGAATCTTAATATACACGGAAACAAACACACACACACACACACACGCATTTATGCGTGGCCATAAATACAAAATGTCATTGCTGGAGGAATATCGGAGGACTCGCGCAAAATATCATCAAGCTCTGTTGCCTGGCAAATGAGTCGGTTCAGTCGGAATGTGCCAGCTCCAAAATACACTACAAAAAATTAGTGACTAAGTTTTATATTTCTTTCTTTGCTTTTAGGAAAAGTACAGCGATTTCATAGACTTCTTGGTGAAATATTATTTATTAAAGTTGTTGTAAATACTATTTTTTTCAATTTAATTTCAATTTAATTACACTTTACGATTTAATGATTAATCATTTTTTCTTTTCAAACCTTTGATACTAGGTATTTCAAAGTCTCATACTATGTTTTTATTATGCCTATTTTAAGAATTTGTCATACTTTTCGGGATTTAAAGCAAACACAAATAAGAAGATTAGATTCTTAGATTCAAATTTTGCCAAAAAAGACATGGCTAAGCTATATGTAAACTTCAATATTTTTTAAAGTGATAATAAAATATAGCACATTTTTTTCAAGTGCAGATTGTGCATGTGTGTATGTGAAAGCTTCTCTCCCCTGCAGCTGTAGCCGCGTCGGTGTGTGTAATCATGCATATCTTTGCCAGTGGGTTTTCGGTTAGTGCCTTATTTACATTGGCCGGAAGCTGCTGGTTGTGCTTGTTTCCGCTTTTGTCTGTGCGACTTCATCACCATCTCTATTGCCCCTCTCTTCCCCAGCTTGTCCGCCTTTCAGCCCAGCCCTCTTGCTGTTGGCTGCTGGCTTCTTCCGCTGTGGCTATGAAGTAGAGCAATGGGCTGGCTCATTAATTTCAACATAACGCGCACATGGCCAACAAATTTGCCACGTACGCACACACACATATAAATTGCACGCACACACATACCGCGGGCATAGTTGGCTCTTAGCTTTCAGCGGTAATTATTTCAAATTAAATGGGAAAAGCACTTTTCAAGCAGGTGCTCCCGAAAGTGTGCAACACATTATTAGCATCAGTCAGCGGGAAAAGGGTACAGTCGAGCTTCGCTAGCTGAAACTTTGAGATTACACTTTAACTTTTTTCTGTCAAGACTTGTAATTAATTCATCAAGAAATTGGAGTTGGCATTTAAAAGCCCTGCAAAGTGATTGTTATTGCTTATTTATGACACATATATCGCGAATTATCGTTTTATATATCGGTCTTTTTGTCTAATATCGACACGCTATTGGTATATCGATATATTCTGCTCACCTTAGTATGCAGTTATTCCCTAAAATAATTAATTTACCATATTAATATATTTGTTTTTTGATTTAAGTTAAAAAAATATCAGAATTCTTGATGACTTTATTCATGATTTTTATTTTTTTTATTTTCCGTCCACATTTTCTTTCATTTTGATAATATTTAACCTAGAATTAGGGGAGTTTCCCCATCTTGAAACCTAGACCGTTATTGCTTTTGACAGCCTTTGTGTGCGTGACTCCTCAATTTCAGGGCTCTCCTGGGCCATGAGAGTGCACTTTGATTCCCTTTTCCTGCAGACCCTGGCCCGAGATGGATAGGGTCAGACAAGGCAGCTGACTTCTTGACTTTCTTCTGGCTCCCAGCCCGTCGTCTGTCAAATGTCTGGCCTCCATCAGGATCGCCTTTGGCCCTGTTTTATTATCCCAATGCGTATGGAAATGCTGACATGGCTTGCGCTTGTCTTGCATGTCTGACTCTCAGGCCAAATAATGTTAATAATGCAAAGTAAGACATATACACACACGTGAAGGTTATGCCCCGAGCCATTGCATTCCAGGGTCAAAAGGACCTCGAAAATATTTTGGCATTCTGCTTCAATGTAAATACATTTTTGGACAGTTAGTCATGCTCCATCCTTTCGGTTTCAAGGGAGAGATGAAAGCGAAATGCCACAAAGAAAATATGGGAGTGGGCCAAATGTGGCTGCTGCTGGTCAAGCATATGCGATGCATTTTCCATGTGGAGCTTTACTGAAAAGAATGCGAGTGCCGGGCTCTGCTTTGCATGGGTACATATGGTACTATATCCCAAATTTTATACAGCAGAATTTATGGATGTAAATTCCACTGTCAGAAATGTACGTTTTTCTTGCATTTATCTGCTTCAAATTTAAATAAAATAAATGGGTAAAAAAGTATTATTATTTGCATATCCTCATTGTGTATCGGATGTCTGATAAATTCTGAATTTGAATTATGAATATTCTTTAAAAAATAGGTAGTTTAAAAATAAACCAAATATGTACTTAGTTACTTTTTTAAATGAATTGTAATATCACATTTTACTCAATAAGGACCAAATTTCCCATTAAATTCGAGTCACTAATTTGTCAACTAAAAAGTTGGAAAAAGCTTTTAGGTCACATCACGAAATGGCTCTTTAAAAGCGCGTTTTACCTGAAAATTCGATTTAGCCTGCAGCCTAATTGATAATAATAATTACTTGACTGCTTGCAAGGAAAGCGTCCTTGTGAAGTCTCTTGTCAATTAAATGACGCACAAAAGGGGTAACTTGAACTCTCTCTCCTTTCTCAGCTTTCTCTGCTTTCTCTGCTTTCCACCTAAATTATTACCCATTTCGCTGCACACCAAGGACCTTTTTATCAGAATTTTTAGTGCATTCGTGAGGCAGGAGGACAGGCTAAGGACGAGCCACACACAGGAGGAGTAGGAGCTGCAAAAATTAAAGTACAATGCTTAATTCCTTGTCAGCTGCTCGGATGCCTTTGCGGAATGAATGGATGAATCCCCGGGGATACGGCCTCAAGCTGCCGCTACAAATCCTCAGGTCTGAGTAGGCTTGTTCCTGGCTTACACTTCTTCCCTTTTTTAGGGGGCGCGCTTTTATAGGCGCCGCCAAATCCACTTTGTAAGCCATTCCATTGGTAATAAAGGCGAAAGTGAGTGCCGCTAATATAAAATTGAATTTAAATAAATGGAGTCGGGGCCGTAAAAAGCCGAAAAGCAGCTCGAAACGCGACGGCAGGCGCCTCTCTGCGCCTCGATTCTGATTTGATTTGTTTGGAGGCGCACGCCCAGCACTTAGGCGCCATTTGATATGCAACAATCTTTGGCAGCAGCCGAAAATCGACGGAAAATCGGAAGGAAGGAAGGCGGGGCATAATCATCATCATCAGCATCAGCAGTAGCAGTAGCATCATCATGGGAGCTCTCGAGTGTTTCGCTTTGTAATAAATCTTCAGTAAGAAATGTGGCCCGAAATCGTTTTAATTTATTCATGCCACGCGCGTTCGCTGTTTTTTTTTCTCCTTTATTTTTTATGGAGGGAATTCCGTAAAGCCATTGATTAAAAATGCAGAGGACTGCACTGCGCCGACCCTTGATCCTTGAAGGAGACACCTAAGCACATGCAGTACTCGGCCCCGATTGTGGCCACATTATGCAAATGCTTTTGACTCAAATCCAGGGTCTGAACTTGAACCATCTAACCTGGGCCGAACCGTGCCGGCTGTTGCCATTGCCGCTTTCATTAATTAGTCGACAGGCTGTTAGCCAGCTAATTAAAGAGCCGGCCTACAAATTGGCAGCTTGTGTGGGCCATGTGGGATAGATTTAGGCAATTAGCACTCGCACTTTGCTCGCAATCCCCTCCAAGCTGTGACTTAACCCGTTCTCCAAGCCTCCCCCCGAAATCCTAAAAACCCAACACCCATAACCCCACAACCCTATGTCCTCGTATCCCTGTTTCCCCCCCGGTCCGCAGCCGGTGGAAATTTAAAACGAGCCAACAGCTACATCGAGCAGCGGTGAGATGTTCGTCCTCGTCGCTCACCTGCACAAAACATCTGGCTGCGTGTCCTTGCTCGCCTGCCTCCTGATTGCGTAATTCCAGCTCACAAGTGCCGACAACGGTTGAGGGTCTATTAAAAATGTATTATCAGTGTGATTGCCACCAGATCCAGCAGAAGTGTCGACGATATCCGCTCGTATCCGTGCGCAGTTGTTTGAGTTTAAATGTTTCAATTAGCTGGTAGCTAGCTCTAAGTGCTTCAAGCCCCCGCCAGGTATTCAGTTTACATTTAGCCAGCTCTGTCCCCAGGTGAATGAGTCCATGGGGAATAGAGCTTTGGAGTTTGTATAAAGACACATTAAATCTTAAAGTAATATCTGTTACTCTTTGAGCAGCCCGGAAATGCTGAAGCGATTAAGTTATAATTAATCATAATCAATAACTATAATATGTGTGTGTGTCATGGCCTTAAGTTCTCGGAAATCTACTTAAAAGGTTATCAGATTGTCTGGAGTTCAGGCGTCGTGTCTATATTAAAGCATCGACTATTATTTGCACTGTCTTTCAGAATTATATTATGAAAGAAGTAATTTAAATAATTAATAAATTAATTGATTTAAATAATAATGTATTATAAGATAGTGCAGATACGTTTAATAAGAAGAAAATTACTTTAGAAAATAATTCTTATAAATAGAATCTGATTCATGGATATTTTTCTTAAGGAAAATGATTATAGTTTTGGCATTAGGCAAAATGTCATACGGGAAAAGTTCAGCAAAGTACTAATAAATCCGAGTATACCTGTACCAAGAGGTATATTTTTTATTGTCTCATATGTAATACATCGACTTATCTCGGTGTCCTATAAAAAGTCAGCAGCTCAGCAGAAAGCTTATCAGTGCAGTTTATTCCAGCGTTGAATCAAGTCTATAAACATGCAGTTGTCAATTTCTCAGGCGTAAGCTTTACAGTCCTTATATGTTTTAATAATACCATAAATACTATAACATGTTGTTTATATTTTATACAGGTTCATTGGCATTTTATTCATAAGTTCATTGTGTTGTGCGTACTCCGATGCGGACCTAGAAGATGATAAGCTTAGGATCAGAGAACTTATACGTACCTCGCAGAATGCAGATGCCAAGATCAGCAATACCCAGGAGTTACTGGAAATCTATAGACGCATCGCTCCCCGTTATTCGGCCAGAGATAGGGAGGGTATCGAAAGGCTTATTAGGGAGCATACTGATCAAACACTGATAGATGGAGTTCCAATTCAAGGCGGCCGGAAGAGCAAGTACGTGAAAAAGGCCTTGAGTTCGGCTGTGACAGACTTAGCGACTGGCTTTTTCAATGAGCTTGGTGCCTCGCTTTGGAATCTGATAGCCCGCACACTTAAAATAGAAAAATAAGTGTAACTTAAATAATTTATATATGAACTGTATACCAGAGATAACGAAGAATTGTTAGAATCTGTTGATCCTTGGACGATATTCAACTCAAATGTATATGATGTATATTCTGTTTATAAAACTACTTTGTAACTAAAATGACTTCGAACAAAGAAATCTCTTGGGGTTTGGCTTCTTTAATACCTTCATAAGTTACCTTTTTTATCATCATCATTTCATTCTCGAGCTTGTATGCTTTGTGGAGGTGCAACCAACTTTAGATGCGCATTCTGGAAGCTACAAAAAAGTCGTTGGAATACGGAATAAATTTATGCACGTCCCCCGTACAGCTCACTTGCATATATTTAGGTAAATGTTGATACACTAGCAAAGATCTTCATACCCACAATATGCATATTCATTCTTGTGTTCAGGCCTCCCCGGTTTTACTTTCTTTTACATTCCAAAACTGAAAAGTAACCACTCCCCGTTAAGGGCTCTCTTCGTGGAAGGATTCCCTTCCAACTTTATTTATTCAATCGGGCCAACAAAGTTTGCGTCGAATTCAATCAACACCCGGGAAAAACTGGACTGCAGGCAAGTGTTTTCCGAAGAGTTTTCGCAATTATTATTTCGGTGTTAAATGCTTTTTTCGGTGTTTGGAGAAAAACTCGTTTTCGTCTGGCGAAAGTTTTTGATTGTCTGGCCGAAACAAGGCATGTGGAAAGTAATTACTATGCAAGTGTCGAAACGGCCTGACAGGGTCCTTCTACGGAACGCTGGCCATTGCCTCCTGGACAGCACATCCTTGCGGCTTGGCACTAGTATGTGCTCGCCTCATCAACACCATCAGCTGTGTGGCATTTGACTTGTGAATGTGTCGTAAAGTTGATACTTTTCCTCCCACCTCCTTCTCTGTTTACTGAACTTGTCAACCCTGCTTCTGCTGCTGCTGGCAATTTGTTTAATTAAATGCTCGACCAAGTGCCAACATACACACTTTCGCATCCCAGACCAGCCACTCGCAGGAAGCGGCGGTTGCCGATGAAAATTAAATTGAATAACAACGGCTAAACACATCGGGGCCAACACCTACATACTTACTACTAACCGATGTGTCAACAGCAGAAGCCACCTGTTCTGGATTATAGTCGAACGTCACCACTATACGGATAATTGATTTGCAACAAACTTTAACTTAGTGAATATTTAAATATTTGTAGCTTTTACTCAATGATGTGTTTAGATATTGTCAGATTAAAAGGAGAGCATTAAAGCATATTTAAGGGCATGAAATTGCGTTTATATTTATGGGTTTATATATAATGTAATAATTTAAAGAACATTTTCTACTTCTATTTTCATTGGAAATTCAGAAAAACAATTTACAAAAAGTTATCATAGAATTCCACTTTTATCCTTCCGGAAATTTTAGTTGCCAGAGGCTTATGGATTTATTTTAAGGACACACCATTTTTGGCGACAAAACTATGTGGGTCACTGGGATTTGCAAGGCCACAAGCAAATGGAGTTCCCGTAGCGCAAAGCCCGAAAGGGAGAGATGCCAAGCAACTTTAGCACTGCATCATAGCGTTTTTCACTCCAGGGCCTTGGATGTGTTTTTCCTAATTATGTGTGTGTGTGGAATTATTCAGCCTTTGGCAGGAAAAGGCCCCTTCCTCTGGCTGGGTTCGAGTCCTGTCACACTGCCTGCTCAGCCTTAGCTTACAAGGGCTCTTGGCTCTAGCATGTATTATCGCCTGTATCGCCCTGATTATCATGTGACAATGTGGCGCACAAAATAAAATCAGCATTTTTGCCTTGTCAAGTGTTAGCCCCAACAGAAAGCCAGACCGAACCGAACCGAACCGAACCAAGCAGATCTGAAATGAAATGTCCTGCAGGCACACACAAGCTGCTCTGTTGTCGATGGCTACAACAGGATACGCATCCAGCAGGGCATGGCTAGGTTATTCCTCAGCTCCTTCTCAGATTTCCCTGCCCACTGCCAAGACCCTCAACTATTTACATGGCCAAAAACATGTTACAGCTGGCCAAGGAAATTGGTGAAACTTTCGTCGTGGCTGGCTTTAAAGGCTTGGTCGCTGAAGTGTTCCCAGAACTTTCTGCTGCCAATAAATGGAAGAAAATAACGACAGTTTTTAGTTGCTGATATAATATTAAATTGCAGAATAAACTTAAAATAGTATAGAGCCACAAGCATAACTGGAAAGAGGCTGAGAAATATATTTTATTAAAGTATAAGTAACATATAAAAGTCACATTATTTTTGTGTGGATATTGTACCTTTATACTTTACAAGATAAACAGATATTTTTGTTCAAAGTTCGTTGTTATTAGTTTCTTGAACTTGCCATCTTGCCAGACCTACTTATTTATCTATTCTGGGAACGCCCATTCCATTAAGTTAAATATATGTAAGGATAAACTTTGCTGGGGGAGGTTTTTTGTACCCAGCATAACCACCGAAAAACAGTTTTCCCACCCTAACTTACCCTACCCTACCCTAGGCCAAACTGTTTTTGGGAAAATTCAATTTCGTTTGTTTATGTGCAAAAGTCTAATTCAAATGCAAAGATAAGGCACAACGTTGGGTACTACAATAGATAGATACTTCAGCACGCTTCCCTCGCAGGATCTGCGCATCCTGCTCGCTCTCCTTCGAGAGTAGGTTCCCTTCCCCCTCTCCCCTGCCGCACGCATATGCTGATAAAGTTTTAGCACCTGTACGGTGAAAAAATGCGGGGACAGGGAAACAGAAAAGAAAAGTTTGCCATTTACAGCCCATCAAGTCGGCTTCAATTTCGGCCTCCTTTTGTTTGGCCCTCCAACGGCCTTCCACTTTCCCCGCTTCCCCCTTTTTTTTTAGCAGTGTAGAGGTTGGTCTTGTCTTTGTGTGCGAGTGAGTTGCCGTTGCTCTTTGTTTGTCACTTTTGGCAAACTTTATGCGCTTTTTACAACGTGTATCCTTTTTGCATGTCGACTTACTGTTTTGGCTTTGCCCTTTGCCATTTTATTGCATCAACAAAGGTATCTTAAGCACGTGTAAAGCGAGCACAGACACCCTCACACACACACACACACACGTATGTAGAGAGCCGGTGAGAACTGCGGTTGGCAAACTTTGATCTCCTTGGCAGGAGACTTAATTTAATGTCCTCCTCGTCGTGGGCTGCCAAGTCGGCTTGCCGCTGACTTTCTGCGGGCTCCTGTTTTGTTTAAGTTTTGTGTCGTGACACAAACACTGAATTTCAATTACCGTCTGGGAATGTCCTTGCCCAGAAATAGGCATGTACACATGGAAAAAGTATGAGTGAAGTTATGGCTTTGATCTAATTATATAGTGAGGGTAAGTCAGTAATAAAGCATTTGTTATTATTATGGTAAATCTTTAGACATATCCTTTCTTAATTTTTGGTCAAGAACTGTACCTGAAATTCCCAAGTACGAATCCAGCGACAATCTGTAATGAAACCCAGCCAGAATTTAAGCTAAGTTATGGTTATTTGATCCTAATAAGTTTCCTTGGCTGTACCTTCTCTGTTTCATACAAATCCCTGTAAAAGTAGTTGCCATCTACTCCCATCGATATCAACTCCCATAACATTTATGTATAGCTAATAGTTTTGTTGTGTGTATACAGCTGGCTAGCCTCAACTTGTGAGTGTGTCAGTTCACCGCATTTGTGCCACTTTTGGCCTTAAAGCTTTCCAGAAACGGGCGAAAATTTGGCCAGAAATTTATGAGCTCAGTGTTGGCCAAGTGTCCTTGCGGGACTTCATACATACACACACACCGGCACACTTTGCACTTTATTTTCATTCAGAGCCTATCGCACGAGCTTATTTGATTTTGGGTTTTCCTCTGGTGCTCCTCCTGCGAAATTTTCCCGGCATCGGCGTCCCCACTCATAAATATCGGAAAAGGGCACGGGGACTTGTTTGTACTGGACAACCCCGGGGCTCATCTGTCGGTGCCGTCCGTTCACTCTCCATGGCTCGTAGGCCCGAATATTAGTGCAATTTCCACGTTGACCAAAAGTTCAATTCATTTTGCAGAGGGACGTGTCGCTGCTCCTCAACTGTTTTCATAAGAATTTATTGCTTCTCTTGGCAACTAAGTGGATCAGATTTCTCTTGGCAGCTTTGGCCTGTGTGCTGTGTAATATGCCACAGATTTAGTGCTGCCGAAATTACTTTTGCCTTTTGTTCGCCTCCGTTCCAGGACCCTCTAGGTTCCCGAATTCTTGTTTTTCTTCTTTTTTTTTCCACAATTTTCTCGTATCGGATTGAAAATTGAGTTGGGTATTTTCGGTGCGGAGGGGAGGAAGCCGCAGCCGACCGCAGACTGACAGTTGGGACAGTTCTTAGGTGAGATTTTCTTCACTCCAAATGGTTTCTTTTACAATGACTGTGGAAAAAACGGTCCTTAAAGTTCGAAGGACCTACGCCTTGAGATTTGCTTGTACTTTAGGAAGTTTATGATGTCAGAATGCTGAAAAAGTAAGCCAAGGAAAACGAATATACATATACTTTTTCATTGATACATATCATAAGAGAGGTGAGTAAATAATTCTGGTTATTTAAATTAATTTTTCATTTAATAAATTTATTTAATATTTATAGTAAGTACTTTTTGATTGACAATGAATTGTTGCAATTAATTTGCTGCTTTTCTTGCTATTAATTACACACTATTAAAGCCTATAGCTTTTCTTTTATTAATGTAGGCTAATGGCTGGAATATAAATACATTTTAAAGCTGAAATAATATTTGAGAGCCTCGTCCCCAGTATGGTTGTCCATTATTCTTCACTAATTATTCATAGGTCTGTGTATTGTCTACATAAAATAACCACTTTCCATGGTTGCTCCAACCATTAAACCGCCTTTGGTGATTGTGCGGTGGAAAGTGGGTTTTTCCTGTCCCTTTAAAACTTTCGCACTCGAAATGTTCCGACATCATTTTGGAAATTTATTTCGTTTATGCATAGCTTGTTTGAGGTTGAGTGGGTGCAATTTGGTCGCCATTTTCCGGTCACAATGCGTCAGTGGAAATAATCAGGAAAATTCCGAATGAAAATGTATACTGCGTGTGTATCTGCGAGTGGGCGGGTGCGGGTGCCAGTGTGTGTGTTG